GGGAGAGAGAGAGAGGGGAAGGGAAGAGAGAGAGAGAGAGAGGGAGAGAGAGAGAGATGGAGAGAGGGAGAGAGAGAGAGAGGGAGAGGGAGAGAGGGAGAGAGAGAGGGAGAGAAGAGAGAGAAGAGAGAGAGAGAGAGAGAGAGGGAGTCCAGGAGGAGTAAAGCAGAAGTGGCTCTCGCCCTTTATTGGTGGACATGGGCATATTTACACAGACGATTTACAACCGGCCGTTGTGTTTGTTTGTTTGTACGTTTTTCAAATAAATGACAAACCAAACCGAACGACTGAGAAAGAAACGAGACGCAGAGCGGCAGTTCACACTTCTTCTTCTTCTCTTCTTTTCTTCTTCTTCTTCTTTTTTTTCAAACAGCGCAAAAAGACGGTAGAAAGTTTTGGTTCGGTGTGCGTAAAGACAGTTCTGTGGGGGGGGGGGAACGTTTTATTGTCCGGGGTCAGACCTGGAGGGCTAAAGCCGCCTGTGTTTGGCTCCAGGGGTCAGAGGTCAGAGGTCAGAGGTCACGGTCCGACTCAGAAACTTTCCCCTTTAAAGTGCTTGGAAACATACACAGTGTTACAAAGGACCTAAACGAGGGATTAAAGCAGATAAATAACAAACGAGTGTAAAAACAAGCAACAAAACCTAGATAACGGGACACATCTTCAGCTTAATATCACAACTATACAAGCCATTGCACATCGTCACGTGGTATATATATATATATAAGTGTATGTATATTTATATATATATATTTATAGTGTTGTTTTCTTCTTTCTTCCTCCTCGGTTTAATATCCTGTGATTCAAAACGTTAAACTGTTCTTAACTCATTGGCTGCCAAAGACGTCTATAGACGTCTTTTCAACGAGAGTGGCTTGGGGGACGATCTGCTAAAGTTTTTCCGTAAATATCGGCTTCTAGACAGAGTATGTACTAACAAACTGACCCTCTAGGGGGCAGTGCCACTTTTGATGGGAGATGAGCATAGACTGTAGGCAAATAAGAAAAAGGTAACGGTTCGCTATGAGAGAACATGTCGCCGGTGAGACGCAAGTCGAGAAGAACGGAATAAGGTAGAAACAAAATTTTTTTCCTGATGAAAGAAGAGAGTCTACTCTTTCTTTTGGTGTGTTCGGTGTTTACATAGTCGTAGCACAAACTATTCTGTGGCTCTTGAAAAATTAGTCAAAATGCTCAAAAAACTCTGGCAGTCAATGAGTTAACTGGATCCAGATCTCCGGGTCTTCTTCTCGGGGCGGTTCCTGCTCAGGTGGAGCTGGGGGGGGTATGTACAGCGGTGGGGGGGGGGGGGGTGTTTCCTCTCCTCTCCCCGGTGTGTGTTTCCTCTCCTCTCCCCGGTGTGTTTCCTCTCCCCGGTGTGTGTTTTTACGGGGGCAGCAGCGGGGGCTTGAAGGAGCAGCCCCCGGAGCACTGGCGGGGCGTCAGCATCTTACAGGAGAAGTGGTGCAGCGCGTCGTGAGCTTCTGGGGAGGAACGAGCCCATCAGTCAGCACGTGCACAGAAAACCAGGAATAACAAATAAAAACAGAAAACATCTGCACGTGCACAGAAACGCAGACCAACGACTCACACAGAAATAAGATAAAATAGAATAAAAACAGCAAACATCTCTGTGTGGAGGATCTCCGGAGTAAAAGAACAACTACAACTTCATCAGTTCAACAGCAAAAAAGAGCAAAGACTGATAAAGATTTGTCTCCTCATTATAGAGGAAAACGACTAAATATCATATATATTAACCCTATCATGCCAAATGTATCATATTTGATACATACGGTTTCTGAAGTCTTTTGAATCTGAGACTTTTTGGATCATTTAATAGTAAAAGCTTTGCTCAAACCCCTGTTGTACACATTCAGATATACCTGAAAACAGCCAACTACACCAAAATATATTTTTGACTTATTGCTCGCTTATTTGATCAAAACAATTTTTTTTCTTCATATGTTGTTGAGGGGCCAAAGAAAGACTTCAGACTAAAACAATCCAATATTCTTCCTATTTTTCTTGGATATGGCTTTTAAGGGTTAAATACATATTATATATATTTTTGTGAGACAAATAACTGTGACGGCTGCTGGTGGTTTTGAGCTTTTTCTCAGCTCAGGTCCAACCAAACCACACATCTCCTGACTGGACTTTAAAGACCCGAATCCCAGAATAAGCCGGGACCCCGACAGGGTTTTGGGATGTTCTGCTGCAGGATATCAGTAGGTAAAAGAGTCCGAAACAGGCTCGTGGTTACAGACCGACCAGTTTTGATGCAGAGCAAAAAGAAAACTGGACAAACTTGAGAACAGGTGAGCTGTTCGTGGGTCTAATCTAAGTTTAAATATGCCGGCGTGCCACTCTACTCAAACAAAAACTCCTGCTAGCCATTAGACCAAGAATTTTGGTTTTGTGTAGAGGTTCAACAACAAAAAAAACAAAAGGAAAAAAAAAAGGAAAAAATAAATGTTTACTGTTGTGTAATATATCGTTAGCTCCATTTCTGTAGATTTATTTCTCACTGTCAGCTTTAGTTCTGTGTGACACATTTATATGAGGGTCCCCTAAAAAAAACCTTAGTTTTCTCTTCACAAACATGGGTTTTGAGGAGTTAATGTGTTGAGTTTGGCCAAGATGACCTGCAACCGTAAATGGGTTTATTTTAATTTTGGCTCATTTTGGTAAAATGTGGATGGAAGACGGCCATAAACGAGGATCTCCGTTTGGAGTTGAGGGCCAGAAACACAGAAGATGATTATTTTAGTAAAAAAAATAAAAAAAGGGAATTAAAAAACCGTGAGGGACTGAGATGATCTTTGTTTGAGTTTTTTTCTGCTTTTCCCTGAAAAAGCTGCACAGTCGGCATGAGCAGAGGACCAAATCCTGTGGTCAGTGGTGCCTTCAGGGCTGGTCGGGACGTGTGAGTACTGCCTTCAGACTGAGCCGAAGAGTGCAAACGGCAGCCTGTGACTGGAGTCATTGATCGAATGAGATGTTGAAAAAAAAGTAGCACTTGCATATTTACCTTTGTGGGCTAAAGTTTGATGCATTTATTATGTATTTATGTTCCCTTTTGGACCAGATAAAATGACATTTCAGCTTCTGCTGTATTGTAATATAATATAATATATAATATATAATAATATAATATCATATGTTTTAACCCTATAATGCAAAATGTATCATATTTGATTCATACGGTTTCTGAAGTCTTTTGGATCTGAGACTTTTTGCATCATTCAGTGGTAAAAGCTTTGCTCAAACCCCTGTTGCACACATTCAGATATACCTGATAACAGCCAGTAGAAGACTACACCTAAATATATTTTTGACTTATTGCACACTAATTTGATCAAAATAATTTCTGGTTTTTTTTCTTCATATGTTGTTGAGGGGCCAAAGAAAGACTTCAGACTAAAAAAAATCCAATATTCTTGCTATTTTTCTTGAATCAGGCTTTAAAGGGTTAAATGAATAAAGGATTTCATAAATGGTCGAAAATAATTAAAAGGGAATTTAAAAAAAAAGGAAATGTGAGCTGTTGGGCAGCATCTGAAGGGGAGTGTAATGCATGCCGTTTGCCCCTATGGTATTTAGAGTGACCCCTCTGTGTACTTGAACCCTGTATTTAAACTAGTGTAACATTAAACCAATCCTTTAACGGGCGGCATTAGCCGCCGTCTTCTGCATGTAACCGATACACTGCCACATAATGGTCTGTCCATTCAATTTTCCAGAATATGATTTAGGAGAAAATAACCTTTGCAAACCAAACAGTGCGGTTTCAGCTTCACCTTTTGAGATCAATTAATCTTTCAAAGCTGCAGGAGGGGAAAAAAAGTGGCGTTTACAGGAAAAATGGCCAATATTTCAATATGCAAGTGTCACTTTTCAGCTCTTTTTTTTTAACTGAGGCTTCTTCCTTGAGATGGATGTGACCCACGGTGGAACTTTTGTGAGGCTCGTCTGTGTTTTTCTCCCCGTAAACTAACTTAAGTTTGTGTTTTCACTCCACCTTGCTAACTGTCCCTATTGTAATGCAGATACAAGAGCATGTTCCACTTTTCTTTACCTGCCCCTGCTACATCACACCTTATTGCTTAATATTTTATTTAGGCAAACCTATTGAACAACCAGAGATCATAGGGGTCCTAGTTCCTGAGCTGAAAACAGGTCAGAACGAAGCTTTTCCAACAAGGCCAGGTAGAGCATGTTTATACTGTCCATTCACCAACAGACTCATTTATAAAGCAAAGCTAACTTTTAGTTGTTTCTGTACGTTTTGTATGTTTTTTGTATTGTTTTATGGCTTTGTTGTAGAGCACTTTGAGTACCATTTGGGTATTGTAAAGGGCTATACAAATAAACTTGATTGATTGATTGAAAGAGAGAACAACTTAGAGATTAATTGTATTTTGTCTTGGTTCTCCAAAGACAGCTCTAATGGGCCATTTACACCTGAAAAAGGGATTCATGAGTTGTGAAATACTGTTGGAGGGACGGAGGCTGGGGAAAGTTCTAGTATCTCTGGGTTTTCTAGTGTTAAAGTGATTTGGTTTAGCGGGTTCCAGAGGTTTTGCGGCGGGGGGAACCGACCTCGGACGATCTGCAGCTGCTGGACCATCTCCTCCCGGTAGGACAGCTCCCGCTTCATCTGGTCCTGGAAGTTATCTGAAGAACGGAGGCCTCGTCAGACACAAACCCGAACAAACGCTCCTCACAAAACGTATCTGCTCAGGATGGCAATCTCTGTATACTGGGTTCTGTCACCAATGTGTTTGTCTTTGTATATTTCGATAGTTTGATTAGTTTTTATTCTGTAAAGCACTTTGGTCAGCTCCGGTTGTTGTAAAGTGCGATATGAATAAACATTGATTGATTGATTGATTGATTGATTTCACAGACTAATTCCTGGATTCGAGGCTCAAAACGAGCCCCTATCCCACCCCCCGGCGGGTGACCTCCCCCCTAAAAACAAGCCCTCCTTTCTCCCACCTTTCAAATGCTGGAACTCTCTCTCCAGCTTCTTCCTCAGCTCCACCTGCTCCACCAGCTGCTTCTGCAGCTCCTCTGAAAACAGACAAAAAAGCAGATAAAGGCAACATTGATATTGAATAAGCAGCCATATTTTTTCTATCATGTTTTTAAGTTGATTTCAGGACAGTGTTGTTCTTACCGTAGAATGTTTATTGGATGTATTAATCTGCATTTTCTATTTGTGTTTGTGACCATAGTTCTGTGCGGTGTAAAGGAGTGCGAGGTGGAGGGTCTCCATGAGGTTTTGAGCCTACTGGAGTCAGGAAACACAGCAAGGCACACCGGTTCCCCAAACACAGAAAGGATAAACTTCTCCTTCCACTCCCAGTCACATTCTCTCGTTTCTGCACGCTGAGGCGGGCTTCAGGTGCGTTTGCCTCCCTAATAACTCCCATTTCCCGGCTCTGCAGCGGCAGTAATTGCCCCGCGTTGCCCGGAGGTGGAGGCGATAATAATAATGGAGTCCCGGGGTTTTTCCAAGCGTTGTAAAATAATTAGCTGCCGTGCCTCGGGGTTATGGCTCCGTTCGTTAAAATATTAATAGCCTCTAAACGATTTCCCCTTACAATAATAAGTCAAAACTCTCACATCTCGTGATTAAGTGGATAACAACCACGGAAACACTGAGGGGCCAATAAAATGTAAATTCAGATTTAAATTTTGGCACGTTTTCTTTAGTAAATTGTGGCTTCTGGCTTCATTTCAGAGTTGGATATCAATCTTAACCGTTATCAAACAATAAAAACACACATTTTATGTTCAATAATAAAAACAAATCCCAAAAGGTCCAATTTGAGCTCATAATTTGAGAAATTGTGCCTCATTGTTAATTAATTAGATTATTTTTATCTGAATCTCAGCTTCTGGACTAGAAATAAAAATAACTGTTAAATATAGAGGCTTGAGATTGAGCCTGGATCGGCACAAATGAATATAAAAGGCGAATAATTGCACATAATTAAAATAATATGCTTAATTTCTCTCTTTTATTTCCTTCAGACCCTTAAAAACAAAAGCCTCTTACCTTTTGCCATGTTCTCCAGATCTCTTTCATGCACGCTGATGTCGATGCGCAGAGCTCCATCAGCTAAAGAGAAACACAACACAACAATTAACCACCACAAATCAGATAAAAATCGCTTCTGGAGGAATAAAAAATGCAGAAAAAAGCCGCTCGGTCTGCGTGTAAAAACCTTGTCTGTCCTTCTGCTCCGGGTAGGACGCCGCGTTTCGTTGGTTTTGCATTTCAGAGGCGAGATGGAGACCTGGAGAAAAACGAAACGCGTTCAGAGATAAAAAAAAAAAAAAGACTCCGCGCGTTTTGCAGCAGAAACTGCGCCATAAACCGGCTGCGTCATTACCGCTGGGCGCGCGGGGGCTGCTCTCCTGTTTGGACGCAAAGCAGGACGGCTCGCTCAGCAGCACGTGGCCGTCCTTTTCATGATGGTACACCTGGAAAAAGCGAGCACAATCGGGCTGAATAACGGCGACCAATTACGGGCCATTTGCGGCCGTTCTTCGCGTAATTTAGCCCATTTTCCTTTCAAAAACATCAGCCTTGAAACGTGTTAAAAGAAATAAGGTTTTTTAATTTATTTAATTTAAAAAGCATTGTTGGACAAACGTTTAAAAGCTGGGCAGAGACACATAAAAGCATCGGGCTAAACTGACACTTTGATTTGTTGTCCCAGAAATAAGAGGAGCGATAGTTTCTATGGATAAAATCCCTGAATTTGCAGCAAAGCGTTTCATTATATTTTGATTAAATCTCAACCCCCCTTCTCCACAAACTTGACAAACTTGCTAGGAATAAATTAAACTGGCCCTGGGGGCACCCTTAATGTCTCATTGACTCTGGTCGTACCTCGTGGGGGGGGGAGCCGGTGCGCGTCTGTCTGTCCTCCTCTGAGGACCCGGTGAGGACGGAGTCCGGCCGGGGGGGACTGCAGGCCTCCGGGGGCCCGCCCCGGGCCTCCCCGGTACCGGGGGACAGCGGGCCCGGGGCCGGGGACCCGCGGGGCTCCGCTCCGGGGGAGATCCGGAGGAACTCCTCCTCCTCCGGGCCGCGGTTGGACTCCACGTCCACGTCCGGGTCCTCGTCGTCCCCCATGCTGTCCCGGTCCGGGGACACGGATCTGTAGCTGGAGCTCTCGCTCACGAAGTCCGGGGACAGGTATCCCGGGCGCGCGCCGTAGCCCTCCCGGCCGCCGTAGAGTTTGGCGATGCTCTCCGCGTCTTTGACCACGGGCCTGAAGGCCGAGACGTAGCCCACCTTCCGCGGACAGGCCTCGTCCCCGGACCGGTCCTCCTCGTTCCGGGCGGAGGAGGGGGCCGGGGACCCGGGGCTGCGCTCCCCAACGTCCCGGTGCTGGAGCGCGAGGAGCCCCGGTTCTTTGGGGGTTCCCGCGCCCCGGTCGCTGTGGTCCGGCAGGTCCAGGTCCGGCGGGGGTTTGGGCGGGGAGCCCGGGTAGGGAGGCATCGGGAGGCCGCCGGCCGCCGGCCAGAAGACGGGGAAGGCCGGGTAGAGCGCGTCCTTCTTCTGGCACAGCCCGTACCCGGGGAACCCGTACGGGGGGTGCGGGAACAGCGGCGGGGGCAGTTTCTGGAGCATGCCGAAGCCCTTGCTGGGCACCGGGATGACCGGGAAGCTCCGGGGGCCGCCGCCCAGAGCCAGGCCCGGGGCCACCGGGTCCTCATCGGTGCGTAGAGTTTTGTGCGGGACCTCCGGGGAGCTCCTCTGCAGGCTGGAGGAGGCCTGCTGCGGCTTTAGGGAGGAGGACATGCCGGAGCCGCCCATGGGCAGAGTCCGCTTCCGGCTCCCGCCGTTGAACATGGCCTTCACGTCCTCCCACGCGTGGTTGATGTCCTCGGAGGGCTTTTTCTCGGTCAGCTTCAGGTGCCGGCGCCACGAGTTGAAGTTGGCCGCGTCCGGCTGCAGGTACTTGGACTCCGGGGTGCGGTGGGAGTGGAAGATGAACTTGTTCGGGGAGAAGTACATGTTGCAGAAGCTGCACTTGATGCACTTGGCCCGGGAGGAGTTGTAGCGCGCGGGGATGAAGCTGCCGCGGCAGCCCCACGCGCACTCGTGCGACACGTCGAAGGCGAAGTTCTCGGGCAGCTTCGGCGGGCTGTGCGCGCCCAGGAACGACTTGCACAGCCGCTCCGCCTCGCGCTTGGTGATCATCCCGCAGCGGCGCGAGGAGATGGGCATGGCCCCCGCGCGCCGCAGCAGCTCCAGCTGCACGGGCGTGCACTGCACGCACGTGATGCCCAGGGCCACGCGCCGGTTGTGGATCTCGTTGTAGCTGTAGTTCTTCAGCAGGGTGTTGGAGATCTGCGCCAGGCACAGCCGCTCCCGGCCGTCTATGACCAGGGACACGATGGGCACCCCGTACAGGGAGGTCTCGCTCACCTGGTTGGGCTTCAGCGGGCCGGAGAAGCTCTGCGCGTCCTGCTTTGGACTCGGGGAGGAGCTGGAGTCTCGTCCAGCGTCGCGAAGATTTCCGGGCATCGACTCCATCCCTGGAAGCCTGTCGGAGAAAAACCGGGTTTACGGGAAGCCTCTGCAAACACTACAAATATGTAGGTGTGTATACACAATATATATATATATATATATATATATATATATATATATATATATATA